TTAGTTTGAAAAGAATGCAGGAAGGATTGAAAAGCATGTTGACACGGTAATGTAGGCTTGGGTTCATTATCTGACACATGCATATACACACTAGGAACCTGGAAACTTAAAAAATACTGAATTACAAAAAACATTTAAAAAACAAACATGTTTCATTGATATATATACAAAAATGAATATTAGGAACTATATTTATCAAACATTATACTGGGCAAGTAAAAATTGTTTCTGGGCAAATGAAATGTGAAAGTCACTTAAAAATCCTTAACGTCGACCTCTGATAGGTATATTTAACTTTTTCAGGTTATCATCATTTTCCTTTGTAGAAAATGTACAATATTAGTCACATTAACAATGTAAATGATACTATTTAGTGCATCTTTATAGCAGTTTTAAAGATTGCATAATTTATTTGTGTGTGTGTGTGTGTGTGGCCATGTCTTTAATACCTGGTGGGGACAATTTCCTTGGAATATGCTACATTTTGGGGACCAACAACTGGTCCCCACAAGGAAAGTTTCTCTTCTTGGGGTGGGGGTTAGGTTTAGGACTAAGGTGTGAATTGAGTTTAGGTTAGGTTTAGGGATAGGTATGTGTCGGTAATGGTTAGGGTTAGGGCAAGGGTCACGGTTAGGCCATAGAAATTAGTGGGAAATGAATGGAAGTCAATGGAAGGTCCCCACAAGGATATTGTGACACAACATGTGTGTGTGTGGGGTGGGTGCAATATCAGTGTGTTTCACGGGGCCCCTAATTCCTGGCAGCGCTAATAACTGAGACCAGTTCATACAGAATTCATTTAAGTTTATATATTTTTTAATGATATTAAGTTTTTAAGTATTATTACCTTTCTAGGGGAAAAAAACAACCTTGAACACGGAGCTCCTCCTACTGCTAATTTAAACTTCCTGGATATAGAAATAAACTGTCTTATTCTGACTGCTCATCAGACTGATTCCTTTCTGGCTGTCGGTCTCCTGCAGGTGTCTTCCTCATCCCGTACCTGCTGATCGTCTTCGTGGGAGGAATACCCATCTTCTTCCTGGAGATCGCGCTCGGTCAGTTCATGAAGGCCGGCAGCATCAATGTGTGGAACATCGCTCCGCTCTTTAAAGGTGACAATAAAATCACAACAGAACTTCTGACGAACTGCCATACCAGTGTTTCCAGTGGGGCAACTGGTAGCGTGGTTCCTGTAACATTATATTAATACTCTCACAATGTTTGAAGAGATGCGAAAAGTTCATTTTTTGACTCTTCGCACTGATTATAATACCATAGAAAATCATAAAACGTTTGACTTTTCAGTCTTTATTGTGGTTAACAAATGAAGGAAAACTACCTGGTTGCAGTTAGTCATTGCTGCACCTGGATGAGCCTTCAGAGTTAGCAGACATTCACCTGCACTGCACCGCAGCAATTCCTTATATCTGATGCCACATCAGGTATCATGCATTTATATCAGTGGTTCTGGAACAGATTCATTGATATAAGTCGGCTGGTTTATATGGAGGATAAAAAGTGCCAAAATTAAATAAATAAATACAGCATTAAATAAATAATTAAATGTGTAAATCATTAAATAAATAAGGAAGTAAATATATAAATGTGTCATTAATTTAATAAAATATGTCCTCATTTTATAAAAAAAATATAGATAATTATTTCAGTGTGCATTTAATTATTTCATGGTCCTGTGTCGCAGTGCATGGAAACCATTAAAAGAATCTGTCAAACTCACCCATCAAAGTTAGGGGGCGGGGTTAACGCGTTTCAAGTCTCTGTCATCGATTTGCTTCGCCTTAATGTGCAGGGTGACCAATCAGGTGTTAGATAATTATATATATTTTTTTAATAAAATGAAGACGTATTTTATTAAATTAATGACACATTTATATATTTAATTCCTTATTTATTTAATGAATTACACATTTAATTAATTGTTTATCGCTGTATTTATTTATTTAATTGTGGCACTTTATATTAGTGACGTGGTTTCAATTAATGAATGACACATTTATTTATTTATTTAATGCTGTATTTATTTATTTAATTTTGGCACTTTTTATCCTCCATAA